TGTAACTTCACCATTAGAGTGAGAAGTACTTGGAAGTAATCATTATTAGCATATTTTCAGGCTTAAGGGGGAAAAACAAATGAGACTATACCAAAATGCTTTTCTGTAGTTTTTCTCATGGTAAAGTACATAGCAGAAACTTGGCAAGAATAAATTAGCACTGGATACTTTATCTTTTAAGATTTTATTTATTTATTTGTCAGAGAGAGAGCGAGAGCGAGCACAGGCAGACAGAGTGGCAGGCAGAGGCAGAGAGCGAAGCAGGCTCCCTGCTGAGCAAGGAGCCCGATGTGGGACTCGTTCTCAGGATGCTCTCAGGGATCATGACCTGAGCCGAAGGCAGCCGCTTAACCAACTGAGCCACCCAGGCATCCCATCACTGGATACTTTTTTGAGGAGCTGGGAATTTTAGTGAAGGCACTCTATCAGGAAGTGAAAGAGCTAAAACACACCAAGTGTGGTGTCAGAAAAAGTTAGAGGTAAAACTGGATAAATAGGAGCCTACCTGTATTACAAAACCATTCTCTGACCATGAGTTAACAGGAAAAAATTGAACTTGCAGTAGGAAAAAAACCTATGTTCTATCTTAGTTTTATGACTTACTGACTATGGCAAATACTTTAGTTTCTCCGAGACTTATTTCTTTGTCTATACCTAGTAAATGTTACTTTAATTTTTTTGAATTATTTACATTATTACTGATATGATACATCTATAGCAAATAAGTGGAAAACAAATATACATTTTGTTTTATATACATATAATGCTTATACATTTAATTGTGCATATCTGAAAATTGGCTAGTTTTGATTTTAATATTGGATATTTACTTGCTAAAAGTGGTGTCCGAACCATATACTATATCTTAAATTATGCCACTTTGTTATTTAGTATTTCTTTTTTTTGCATTGCTTTTCTATCTCTAGTGGTGTTTCAAGAGAGTATTCTATTTGCCTTTATCTTATTGACAACCACACCAGAGTATGGGTCCTTCTGAATTTTATTTTAGAAGTAAAATAGATTAGCTTTTGTTGGGTTTCCAAAATTCTAACTCTAGGACAGTAGAGAATGTGGAAATCAGTCATACAAAGAACAATAACCCATCTGGGGATGTTAAATCTGAAGAAGAGAATTCTCAGGGGAGATATGAAAGTTTCAATAAACAACTGAGAAGGCATCGTGCAGAAAAAGATTTTATTTATTTGTTGTAATTTCAGTTGGTAGAACTGAATAGATTTGGGCTTAGTGAGTGGAAGGACTTCTGTTTCTTATATAATGATCAGGTGGAAGTGGTGGAAAGAACATAGAATTATAGTCAGACATTATTGAGTTCAACTTTGTATCCTGGAGTCTTAGCTTTCTCATCTTTAATATGGAACTTACTTTTGTATTGTGGAGGCCAGAGGAAGTGGCAAGCAGTAAAAGTATTAATTTTGGCTAATTTTTTTTTAATCCTCAAAGTCTAAGAGACAGAGAAAAATGTACAACTAATGAGTAGCTAGAGAAGAAAAGAGGAATAAAATGAAATCCTGATTAATCCAAATTAAAACAAGAGAGATAAAAGTAGAGGAAATATAGAAAAAATGATAATTGTAGACTAAACCAGATTTATTAGTAATTCCATTAAATGCTAATGTACTAAATATCCCAACCAAAAGACAAATATTATCAAATTGGATTAAAAAATACTATTTGATGCAAAAAAATACAATTTGATTCTTATAAGATATACATCTTATATGTAAGGATACTGAAAGATTGAAAATAAAAGGATGAACAGATAAACCATACAAATAGCCAAAAGAAAGCTGATATAGCTCTACTAGTATTAGGCACTAGATAAGAATTAGACACATTTTTTAAGATAAGAAGTATTATTTCATGTAAAACTCTCTGGCTGCCTCAAATTCTAGAACGTTAGAGAAGAAAGAGAACTTAAAGGCCTCTCACTCTAACCTCCTCATTTCACTAGTGTGAGAATCAAGGCCGTCAGAGTCAAATGGCTCACCCAGTGTTGCCCAGCTCTTTAGAAAGAACAAACCCTTCAAGTAGGAGTGGAGTATCTGAAGAAAGGCTTAAACCTCACAAAGAGATCACCCAAATGCAAAAGCAGTTCAAGCTAAAAGGTCAGCTTTCCAACAGTGGATAAATTTTTCACAAAGAGAAGAAGGAAAAATAATCTTTCTAATAAGTTTTTTGATATTCTAGTGGAGATCTAGAATCCAAAATCACCATTCTCATTCATTTTAAACCAATTTGCGCTGCATTTATTTCTTCTATCCAAAGTTTGAGTTTAATTTAAGATGTGTTTAAAAGCAATAAATGCGGGGTGCCTGGGTGGCTCAGTGGGTTAAGCCTCTGCCTTTGGCTCAGGTCATGATCTCAGTGTCCTGGGATCAAGCCCTGCATTGGGCTCTCTGCTCAGCGGGGAGCCTGCTTCCCCTTCTCTCTCTGCCTACTTGTGATCTCTTTCTCTGTCAAATAAATAAATAAAATCTTTTAAAAAAAAAAAAAGGCAATAAATACTGCACCAGTATTGTCATCCCACAGAAAGAACATTTTAAGAATACAGTTCTCTGGGGGCGCCTGGGTGGTTCAGTGGCTTAAAGTCTCTGCCTTCGGCTCAGGTCATGATCTCAGGGTCCTAGGATCAAGACCCGCATTGGGCTCTCTGCTCAGTGGGGAACCTGCTTCTCTTCCTCTCTGCCTCTCTGCCTACTTGTGATCTCTGTCAAATAAATAAATAAAATCTTTAAAAAAAAAAAAAAGAATACAGTTCTCTGAATATGTATCAGAAATTTATAAACTTCCCATCAGAGATAGTAAAGATTTTTGATAATGCAAAAACAACCTTGCTTAACTCTTAAGGACTTAAGGGGAATATGTGAACAGCATTGTGTGAGAACATTAGAAGAGATACTATGATTCTCATGACTTTTTAACTGTAATTTGTCATGTGTGATCTATATTATATTATGTGAAGATTCTGGGAAGATTAAAAGATGGAAGTGTTCTAGATAGCCATGAGAGTATGTATACAGCCACAGTAAAAGAAGGGAAATACTAAGTTTTTTTTCCCTATCTTTGCTGCTAGAGACCTCAGCAGAGCCTTTATTGGGGAAGACAACACAGTACCGCCTGGATATTTATTGTGGAGCTGGGTGGCCACCAAGTTCTTCACTGTACCCAGGTTTATCCAGGCTATTTTCACCACTCCAGGATGGAAGCAATATCCCATGACATTCACTCCCACATAAAGCTGGACTGGGACAGGCAACTTCCACAATTCATTTCCAAATGAATACCTGATTCACATGATTTATGGAAGACATCTATTACTCACATTAGCTGCAGGTCACAACTACTTCCCACTTTATAGATGAACTCTGTGACTAAACAGAGGTGTTTAAAAGAGGTCTAAAAGAGGTGTTAAGGTAGCCATTTGTTGGTTTTAAGTAGCATCAAAGGGGGGCGCTGGGTGGCTCAGTCAGTTAAGCAGCTGCCTTCAGTTTAGGCTTAGGTCCTGATCCCAGGGTCCCTGCTCAGCCTGGAGCCTACTTCTCCCTCTCTCTCTCTGGCCCTCCCACGGGCTTGTGCGCTGTCTCTCTTGCTTTCTCTCTCAAATAAATAAATAAAAGCTTCTAAAAAAAAAATAACATCAAAGGGAGGCAGCACGAAGTGTCAAGAGCCTGGGCCACATGTGGCCTCTGCCCACTTATTAGCTGAGTGACCTTGGGCAAGGCTCAGCTTCCTCATCTGTGAGATGATAATAATACTTCCTTATTGATTGCTGCAAACATTCAATGGGTTAATATATATCATACACTCTTAGAACAGAGTTTGATGTATTATAAGCACTAGGCAGATGTTAGCTATTACCCCATATTTTATATAGTTCACGGGGCTGCCACTGGCCCTGACCCCACCTGACCCCCACTGCCCCTTGACCGCCCACCAGAAAGCCACCTTCCGCCTTCCGAGACTTGGACTTTCTGTCAGAGGGATTCCTGGGCCCCTGAGGGCCTCGTTGGCACATCATCAGCCCTGTCTGCCCAGCTGAACTTCCTCCCCTGGAGGACTGGGCCTCCCCCTGTTATTTGTGGGTCTTGGGCCTTGAAGTGGCAGTGGCAGGGCTGCTGTGGGGGGCTCCCCACACCCCCGGGAGACCTGGATCAGAAAGGCCTGCATAGCAAGGAGCAGTTTGGCTTGTTCTTTTTTTTTTTTTTAGTACTTGACTTGCTTTATGGATTATTAAACTAACAAAACTGAAAAAATTATATAGGAATATTATAGGAATTCTAATAAAATATATAAGTAAAATATACAGGAATATTAAAAGGAATGACTTGTAAAGCAAAGTGAATTCTAGTTACAATGTGGGACTTCAAATATTTTATTGACAATCACACATATTCTATTTTAGGAATTAAAATTTCTTTATTGGTCAAAAATTAGTGGAGTGTTATGAAGTAAACACCTCCCCTCTGGTACTTTAATAACGTACTACCTGCCTGGAAATTCCATGTACCTGAATTATACTGAATGAGTGAGATGGAAGGAAAGAGAACAACTCAGCAACTGGGGATGTTTTATACAATGAGATCAAACAGACCTAAGTTAATGGCAGTGAACACAGTGAACACTATTGGAAAGTAAGACGTAAGCTATTTGCTACCTCTAGTACAACACATCAGTATTATCCCTGGTAGCTTACCACATTTCCAACCACAAATATCCTTAGAGAGTTTGGGCCATTGTGGTCAAATGGCTGTGTTTTCTAATAAGTGCATTCCTTCTGCTTGGACTTTCTCATTCTTGCTTGCTAACACGCTGTCTCTCTCTCTCTCTCTCCCTACACACACATACATACACACACACAAAAGAAATAATATATAATATATAGGTCCAGTAATGTCCCCAGATAAAGCATAAATAAATCAAACTCCATAGTAATTTATTATTGATCTTTAATAAAAATATTAAAATGTCTTTTTATTTAGGACTGGAGAAGCTTGCACAAAAAGGGAAATCATTGTCTCCTTTAGCAAGTATAACTGGAATATCACTCTTTTTGATTATATCCATGTGTCTTATCTTCCTGTGGAAAAAATATCAACCCTACAAAGGTGGGTTAAAATTAGAAAGGAAATTTGCAAATTGTTTTATATGTGTACTAAAAAGTACCTTATTATTTTTTTTTCTTTTGGTTTTAGTTATAAAACAGAAGCTAGAAGGCAGGTAATGCATATGTTTCTACAAAAATAATTTTTTTCCTGAATGCTTTTTCCTCAATTATTATCACTGACAGAAATGCCCATTTGTCTTTTCAGGCCAGAAACAGAATACAGGAAAGCTCAAACATTTTCAGGTAATGGCCATGCTGAAAGGGACTAATATCAGTGTTAATGTATATGAATTAATATTGTTGATATTAATTATTACATATAATGTACTATTGATAAAATAGAATTCATGTAATCTAATATTGATATAATACAAACAGTCTCTTACCTTTGAATATTGCCTTCACTCTACAAAGTGTATTGGTTTTATCTAAGTCACGCAAGTCTATAAAATAAGCCTGAAAGGCACTCAACTCCGTTTTACAGGCAAGAGAACCAAAGCTTGGAGATTAAGTCACTTGCCCACCATCACTGAGTTCTTTTGAGTCCTAATCCATTGATCCTTGTATTATTTTGAAAATGCCCAGGACCCTCTCAATTTATTCATTCCTAAAGCAGATACAATGCGGGCAGCGCCAGCCCAGGGAGAAGAGGAAAGGGAGCTTTGACAGTTTTGCTGCTTTGTCCCCAGCAGTGCCCCTCATTGCCATTCACTAGGGACTCCATACAGAATTGTTGTTAAGCTAACAATGGGGCTTTAACTCAGGACTGGGGGTCACGTGGAGGTGGGTTTCAGTGCTGTATGTGCTACTTTTCCCCAATGTCACCTTGAGAAAACTAATTTTTCCTGACCTCAGCTTCCTCATCTATATAATAAAGATAATAACTACCCACCCCCCCACACACACACCAAGGTTGCTGTGAGAATTAAATACAATGTTGTGGGTGGAGTGCCTAATATGCCTGGATGCTTCGTGAATGTGGGTCTGCTTCCTCTTACCAAGCCCCAGAGACCATCTCGTTCCTCCCAACCACTCCATTCCCATCATTTTACAGATGATAGTTTGGGTGATTTCGATATTGCCTTGTATTATATTTTGGACCAATGGGCAGCTGTATGTAATTATGTATTCTTATTAGTTCTGATGGTATCTGTTTTAGATCTGGCAGGGTGCAGTACATATTACGTGTAGTTAAGAGATGCTGTGACTCCCAGGCTGAAAAGCCTTGGTGTGCTCTTTGGTAACTGAGAGTTACAAGGGACAAGCCTGCCCACACGCGTTCATTTGAATATAGAATACGCCATTCCCACATCAGGCTTTAAGAATAATTGTCCCAAGTCAGTTTCAATTCTCAGCTTCGGAAGGAGTGATTTCTAACACTGCTTAATGGCAATATGACTGTAGGGGATTAGAAAACCTTAAATTGGTTTGATACTCATACCACTTGAAGCAACAATAAAGATAAGTTGTACAAAGCCTTAAAAAAAAGCTACAATAGTAGTTTGAGGCATTTGATTTGTAAGTAGTATTTGTTTTACATTTCAGGCCATGAAGATGCTCTGGATGACTTCGGAATATATGAATTTGTTGCTTTTCCAGATGCTTCTGTTGTTCCCAGGGTTGGTTTTCCTAGTGGCTGATTAACCAGAGGTGTAAGCGGCCTTCAGTTAAGCGCTCGGGCAGTGTGGTCGAATGGCTGTGCTACCCTCAGCAGAGTTCACTTGCTCTGTAGTGAATGATGTCGCCAGATCTGAGGAGCTAAATAAAGCATCTTTCTTGGCCTTTATAAGTAAGGCTAACACGAATTAGGAAGTTACATTAATTTGTAAACATTTCTTACCTGGTAAGCTCAGCAAAGAGAGAACTAACTAGGTTGAAATTAAGAGAACTGAACAAATAGGGGACCAGGGGATCCTGATTTAAATCATTCTGCATCACCTTGATGGCTACAGCCTGTCACTTCACCAACTAGCCCTTTCTGTTCCTCACTTTCCCTTCCCTTCCCCTTATAGCTTGCATAGACAATTGATCATACCCTTAATCATACCCATATGCTCTTCAGAAGAAAGGTACCATATAAATCCAAAGTATGCAAGCACACATCTTTATTTGTCATCCTAAAGGTGCCTGAGACCTGAGAAGGGGGGCCTTTACACCATCTGAAACATTTTTTCAGTTTGCAAAGACAAGGTCTTGAAAACAATCTGTTTTGTTTAACAGACCTAAAGAATGTTCTCTGAGCTAATCAGGTCGTTAGCATTTTTATAGATCTCTGTAGGGACAGTCTTACCTCTGCTGCCTTTCCCCCCTAAGATAGTTCATTTAGGGAAGGGGCCATAAACACACTACTTGCTTTAGGGCCTTTTTATTTCCTTTTTTTTTTTTTTTTTTTTTTAAGAACTGTTTGTCATTAGGGATTGGTTACCTCACCTATTCAGTGAATTCTACCAATGAGTAAGGTTCATACAGTAATCTTCTTAGCCGCAGCCTTTTCACAAATGCTATGTGAGTAATAGAGGGAGACTGATTGGATTTCATCCTCCTGAGGGCACGTTGGTAACACCATCATCAAAGCTTAGCACTGCCCTATTCAATCTCAAACAGCACTGGCTCACCTTTCACTTCTACAGTGAAAAAGAAAAAAACAAATATTTGTAGATCAATTATTTCAAACAGCTTCTGCCCACAGCAGAAAGCCCCCTCTCAGGTGTAGCTTTTAAGTGGGAGAGAAGGAAACTGAAGAACTGGTAAGATTTGGAATGGAATTGTTGAAGCCGACAATTTCTTTATTTAAAATAATGCAGTTTTTATTCCTAGGAATTCATGAGAAAGGAGTGAGATCTATGTAAGAAACTTTAAATTTAACCTTGTGATTAATTAGTACTCAGTTTCAAGATGTTACTGGGAGGGACCTGTATGTTCAAAATGCTATAATCCTCAAGAACTTGGGGGCAGAGAAATGAGTGCTCTGATTACATATCAGAAGCCCTACTTATTTCTGTCATAAGTAGAATAACGCAGTCTGGAGCCATGCCCATCTTCTAAGCTGAAAACTCCTGAGGAATCAGCTAAGATTCTTCACTGGGAAGAAGTAAGAAATCAACACCAACAACAGAAGGAAAAGGATGTGGAGCAGGACCTATGTAGGAGAACCTGCACTAGGAGAAGCCAGCATGGCAGTTATGTGTGAAGATTAGCAGCCAAATGCAGTGGCTTTGAGAAGAAAAGGAAAAATAATAATAAAGCCAAGATCTCAAAGTTGAAGTTAAGAAAGGAAATAAATTAAATAACTAACTTCTGAGTTTTAAAAATAAGAATCATCTCTCAGCTTGTGGTACATGGACACATGGAATCTTCCTCCTCTCTCTAGTTGCTGTACATTTTACTGTCCATTTAGTACCTCTTTGGGGAATTGGACAGAAAACAATGGCATGAAATGAACAAATGTATTACTTGTTGCCAGCTCTGATATGAACTTAGGTGAATAAGTTAGTTATTACCTAGAGTTTGCTCTTGTCATAGCCCTTGAACACCCCCATACCAAAGAAACTCAAGAGTTGATCTCAAGTACACTTGACCCTGGAACAACATGGGAGTTAGGGATGCCAAGGCTACCTAGTTAAAAATCTGCCTATAACTTTTGACTCCCCCAAAACTTAACTACAATAGCCTACTATTGACCAAAAGTCTTACCAGTAACATCAACAGTCAATTAATGTATATTTGTATTATATACTGTATTCTTATAATAAAGTAAGCTAGAGAAAAGAAAATGCTAAGAAAAGCATAAGGAAGAGAAAGCACATTTACAGTATTGTCCTGAATTTATTGAAAAATATCCATGTATAAGTGGACCTGTGCAGTTCAGTCCAGGTTTGTTCAAGGGTCAACTGTACAAACTCTAAACCAAAATCTCCTTGGCACAGAAATGATAGGATGAATCATAAAGCTGCATATGAGAACTTTAGCAAGTGGAATGGAAACTGTTTCCAAAGAAAACACAAGCCTAAGGTGTTCCAGTACAATGTAGCAGATTAAATTGGAATGAGATAACATATTCTTCAGATGATTTATCAAGGGCAAAGAGTCCTCTAGGCAATGCTCTATAAATACAAAGGACTGAAAGTGATCCATTGGAAGTATGTTGAAAATTGGAAGAGCTTGGGATGAGGAGGGGAACCAGATTTCAGCTGACTAACTGGAAGGCAGTGTTTACAAGAAGAAAATCATCAGATAAAAGGAAGGAGGAGTTAATAAAACAAGAATGCCAGTTTCAATAAAATACATGTTGGTTACCAGGCAGAAATATACTGCAGTGCTTCCCACACCCTTCCAAGCCTTTAGTTAGAGCCCATGACTGAATTCAAACCAAACATCTCCCTTTGTGTGTTCTGTATTTCTTGGTAGTGTCTATATTAACTCACAGTGTGATGAGGGCTTTTGTCTATATATTATTCTTTCTTTTCAACCATCCTTGCACATATAATTGGCAAACAGTGTCAAAAAGCTATTTGAGATGTAATATAAAGGATAATCGTACATGCTCTCTGATTCTAAGCTGTCCTGGTATCTTCTCTTTTGCTATTTTTTTCTTTCTATTATATTTTCTTTACAGTACTGCCAGCTTTTTTCTTAAATGAAGAAAAAAAAAAGCGATAGCATTGTCAAGCTTTTCCTCTTCTGACTTCATAGCTATGCTGCCACATAAACTATCATAGGGTAAGTGCAGGAAACTGTAGCAAGGAGAAAATGGACATTGTAGGGAAGATAAACAGATCTAATTCTCTAATCATTACTACTTCCAGTTGTTTTCAACTACTCAATAGACATACTCTTTACTTCTCTGCTAATTGTTTTTAATGTGTCATATTTTCTAGATGCCAAGTAGGTCTGTTTCAGCCTCTGATGGTGTATCAGGACAAGATTTGCACAGTACAATTTACGAAGTCATTCAGCACATCCCTGCCCAACAGCATGACTGTCCAGAGTAAGTATGAACTTGCGTTTGGTGATGCTATTGTGGAGGGGCTAAGTATTCAGCCCCAGCTTTCCCCAGAATTTATTGAAAGGCTCAGAAGAAAAATACCAAAACAGGAAATTGTAGCTTCTGTACATTTGAAAACACTTCCCCAATGGAAAATAATTCTAGGGGAAAAAATAGACAAACACAAGTATCTTCTAGGGTCGTGCACTTGGGCCAGTGGACTAGATGCAGAGCTCTGGAATCTAGCATTTACCCCCGGTGAGTCTGGATATGAAAGAGATTTTCAGGCCAGTTCTCAAGCCTGATCATTTTGGTTATCTTGATGATTTTCCAATGGCTGTGGTGATTTTAGAGCCAATGATTTGTCACTGGGAATAGGACCAGGAAAAAAAAAAAACCACAAAACATGCACAGCACGGTCACCATCACCATCAAATATCCAACCTCTTAACAGATTCAAAGCAGTCTACTCTAAGTGAACAGAATCACAGCAAGGACTGGCCTCCCAGCCAGAGAGGATAAAATCTGAGCTGAGGCCAAAGCCAGGAAACTACTTACCAGTTAACCTCAGGCCTGACACTAAGGAGTTGCCCTCCCTTCCCCACCATGGAGAAACTAAGCCTACAGCCTTTTGAAATAATGAAATGAACTTCCCTCTTTTGTGCTCTAGCTGCCTGCAGGCATAACTGCCACAAATCGTCTTCCATCATTTCTTTATTTGTCATTTATTGACTTTGAAAAGAACATCAATAACCACACACAGGAACTTCCCCTCTGGCAAAAGAAACAGTTCTAGTGAAGTAATTCATGCACACCTCTGGATAGATACCAAAAATAACAGCTAGCAGTGGATGACTGCATGGGAAATCATCTTAGGGGGAGGGCACCCAGTCTTGGTGGGGACTATGCACTCATTTAACAGCTAAGTGACAGGACACCTCAGAGGACCCCATCAGTGCATCTCTTCTTAACCCAGGGATCCTGGAGAAAAGGGAGTCAGGTAAATTAGGAGCAGACCCTGACAGAGGTAGGAACTTCTGGTCTGAAAAGAAAAGAAAAAAATGTCTTAAAGAATTATATTATTGGGGTGCCTGGGTGGCTGAGTCAGTTTACCATCTTACTCTTGATTTCATCACAGGTCATGATCTCAGGGTCCTGGGAAGGAGCCCCAGAGTCTCTTTGTCCTTCTCCCTCCCCTTTTGCCCCTCTCTCCCTTATGCCATTCTCTCTCAAATAAAAAAATAAATAAAATCTTAAATGAATTATATTATCAATCTAGTAGAACACAATGGCGAAATATTATTCCATGATGGTTAAAAAAAAAATCTCTCTAAAATAATACCTGACTCCTTTTACTTCTGGAATAGAAAATTAAGGGATTTGTTTTTGTTGTTGTTGTAGTTAAATGTAAGGAATAGAAAGAATTTTAAGAGTATGTCTGCTTCCCAACTTTAAGATTATACCCAATTAAGAATATTATCCAATTTAAGTTCATGTGTTTTTCTATATGTCATTTATTCTGCATTGTCTATTTTTTTTATTTAGACTGTAAACAAGCCAAATGAAAACTTGGTTTATCTTTTAAAGCTCCCAGTAATAAAAGAAATGCTGATTTATTTACAAAGATATAGAATATGGCAGCTGTAATTTCAGAACACAAAATAAAGTGATCAGGTTGGTTTTGCATGTAAAAACAAAAACAAAAACAAAAACAAAAACGTGGTTCTCTAAGTTAAAATAGAAAATCACCCTCTGAAACTAGACTGCTTTCAGACATGAGCAGTATCTTTAGAGTTTCTTGGGAATATAAAACTTTATTTTGAGAAATAAACTTGGAAGGTTGAAAATAAGGCAGAAATGTTCTTTTTCAAGCACATAAAGGGCTATTCAAAACTATTCTTGAGGACATGCTCCCTTGAGGGGCAGCAACCTGAGAACCCCAGTTCACACCACCAGTCCTCTGTCTCCATTGCCTAGGCTCACCTCTTTCCCTGTCCTCCTAATCTTCCTTTGCTTCCCTTCTGTGTGTTGTCTTCCAAGGACTCTCTCTTCACCTCCATTCTTCAGTATCTGCCCTCTCTGAACTTCCCTTCCTTTTCCTTCTTTCTCTGGAAGACTGTTCCCTTCTCTCTAAAATCTCTTAGAATTTTCCTTTTTACACTTATTTTATTTACTGTCAATCTACAAACATTTCCAGAACATTATCTGCTAGGGATAGAGGTTAAATAAGGCTCTCTTTTAAGGATTCCATAGTTTAGCGAGCTCTTGTTTGCTTATTGTAACTAAAGACTAGCGGTCCTTGGTAGAATAAATATTCCTCAATAATTAAATATTCCCTAAACATGTAGAGGCCATTTTTCTCTTCTGATTGCCTATGGCTTTATTCTTTAAGTCCAGTTAAACTCTAAGGTCAATTTTATGAATAATGCAGTATTATAGGTGGCTAGTCAATTTCTCTCCTCCCCACTTCCCATAGTGAATGTACAAGCTGTGGATAAAGAATAATAACTTTCTGCTTTGTTGTACCTCTATTTGACAGTTGCTTCTGAGATAGAAAAGACAGCCAACAAAATTCTTTTCTTTGGCTCTTAGACTATTCTAACAGTGTTGTTTTCATTAGTGCATGTGTCTGTTACCTAATTGGACTGGTGTTTAACAAATTGGTAAGTTGACCTGTTTTCATGTTTTAGTACTCAGGCTACTTATTTGGATATTGAACTTATAGCTACATTTATTTAAATGCTATCTGTTGATAGCATTTAAATAAATAAATAAATAAATAATAAAATAATAAATAAATTAATAAATAAATAAATAAATAGCATTTAAATGAAATCTGATAGTTTGTTTTGAACCCTTGACTGGCAGTTAGTATCTTTAAATTCAGGACATTTGAGTAAACCTTTACTTTCAAAAGGAAATTATCTGCAGAATTTAGTGATTGCTTATTCCTTACACTTATTGGTTTATAAATGTAATTTTCTTGAACTAGTTCCAAACACTTCTATTATCTGCAGGTACTGAAAGGAATAAAAGAATTTAAGGTTCTTCTACCTGTGGAACTGGAACTCTGTAGAATATTTTACATATCTTGTAACATCTCTTTGCCAGGTGAGCATTCATGGGTAAACCAGTGCATTGGAGTGAAATAATGAAGGAACATTTTGAGGAAAAACAGTGGAAATGTATATTCATCTGGAATCAGTGAAGAAATCAAGCCCAATACCTCTTGCTCATTACTCCTTTTAAATGCAGAATGGAGTCATTTATAAAAATTATACTGAAGGTTTTCCAGCATACACACAATGCATTGTGCTGTAGAGGAAGATGGTAGGGAAATAGTGGACAGTCTTTATCATAGTGACTAAGAGGAAGAAAAAGAAGGGACTTTCCAATTACTCTTTTCATATCAAGTCTCTCTAACAAGCTCAATTAGTTCTAATCTATACTTTCACTTTCATCAACATTGCATATCCTATCTAATTTACGAATGTGGAAACTTTATATTTGTAAAAATTTCCAGCAGGTTTTGTTTTATTAATTCTCATTACTATTAAGTTATTGTACTAATTTTTAAAATTTTATTCCCAAACTTCCTTCCTGGTATTTGTACCACACAATGAGGGTGGCTGCCACAACAGCAAGATTGCCTTCTAGACTGTCAATTACCATTGGCTTTATGAAAAGACATAAAACACTGAAGGAAATGATATACTAAAGTTTCATTTTTATTTTTGTTCAAGGACAGATGGATTCAAATAAATTATTTTGGTTTTGCTTTTATATGTCCTCGACTCTTTGTCTTATAGGGAAAATGTTTACATAAAATATTGTACAGTTAGATTTTTTTTATCCTTATTTGCCAGTGTGCAATTGAAGTGCAGATTATAGAGAAATAAGAATCTTCCTCTTGCATGGCTAATTTTTTTTTCAGGTGTGGAATTTTTACTTGATTGAATTGCTGATTCTAGGAAAGGTCTCCCTCCTTGTATATTGCTGTATTTAAAAAATCAGTTAAGAGACCATAGTAGAATTGGAAAGTACCATTTTACAACCTCCAAATGAAATTACTGATTCAGATCACAATCATCATTAGCTAAGACTGCTGGATAAATGGCAACAGATAAAACTAGATGACCAAAGATCAGGTTGCAGAAACTCTGTGAAGGAAAAGTAGTCTGAGACCTAGAGAGAAGCAGGTGTATGAAGGAGCACAAGGCAACTGCGCAGGACACAGGAGGCCCAGGAAGTGGGCACAGAATGGTCATCTGAGTGTTGTAGATCTTGAAGATGAAAGATGAATATTTGTGTTTAATGACATTGCCTACAAACAGTCTGACCTGACAGTATCACACTTTAAGATTTCATTTTAGCCAAATAAAGGTAGAAACAACCCAAATATTCAACAATAAATCTTTAAATGACATTACATCCAAACACTCCAACTATTTTTTTTTTTTAGATTTTATTTATTTATTTGACAGACAGAGATCACAAGTAGGCAGAGAGGCAGGCAGAGAGGCGTGGTGGGGAAGCAGGCTCCCTGCCGAGCAGAGAGCCCAGTGCGGGGCTTGATCCCAGGACCCCAGGATCATGACCTGAGCTGAAGGTAGAGGCTTTAACCCACTGAGCCACCCAGGCGACCCCAAACATTCCAACTATTAAAAAAGAAGATATAGGGGCACCTGGGTGGCTCAGTGGGTTAAAGCCTCTGCCTTTGGCTCAGGTCACGGTCCCAGGGTCCTGGGATCGAGCCCTGCATCGGGCTGTCTGTTCAGGAGGGATCCTGCTTCCCCCCACTCTCTGTCTGCCTGCCTCTCTGCCTACTCATGACCTCTCTCTGTCAAATAAATGAATAAAATCTTTATTTAAAAAAAAATATATACACCTGTATTTACTGACTTTAAACTATGTCTCATGACCTATTATTTAATACATAAGAAAGAAACCAAAAGAAGAGCATTTCTTTTTCAAACTATTTCAAATGAACCACTGTATTTAAACTGTACTTCCCATCTTTTTCACAGAAGCACATGGTTAAAGGAAAGTTAAGACAAATTTAACCCCTTTCTGGTCTTCTTTCTCTACCACCTTCTGTATTTTTCTGCTGGAGAAGTCTACCAATCCTACCATAAACATTTTCTTTTGCATTTGATATAATACAGATATATATATATGTGTGTATATATATATAAGCATATATATATATATATTACTTGGTATATACATGTATATATACATATATATGTAATAGATTATATAATCTAATTAGATCATCTATAGATTTTATATATATAATCAGAAAAGGAATTATTGTCCATTACAACTAAATATATAATATATATACATACATATATACTTGGAAATGCATACAGCTGACCAAAAGATAATTAAAACACCTTTAGAAAGTAGATCTTAAACATTCTCACAACAGCAAAAAAGAAAATTGCAATCATGGGACGTGTTGTGTTCACTAACCTTATTGTGGTAAATTATTTCACAATATGTACATGTACCAAATAATCACACCTTAAGCTTACACAATGTTGTACATCAGTTATATCTCAATAAGGCTAGAAAAATAATATAAAATCACTTGTATTCTCACCTCTTGGAAATAACCTGTTAACATTTTCCTAGATTAGTTATGCATTTATTCTTTCATATACCTTCTAGTTCCAGAAAGAATTTATGGGAGCTCATATAAATGCATAATGTAACAAGATAAAATATACCCCCAAAATGAAGTTGATAAAGAAAACAGGATGAAGGAACAATGAGAGTTTACAAAGGCACATTGAAAGCAGAAATGAGGCTAATAACCAGTATGATGAATTCCCCTTCATCTCCAAGTATGGTTTTATTACACCAAGATCACAAGCATATACAGGTGGATGTCTAAGGAGGGACTTCTAAACTGAATGCAATTTGTAACTGTCAGCCCAAAAAAGGTTGCAATCCCCTCACAGGGTTGGAAAAGAGCAGGTCAGCTTTCCCAGCCACCACTCACGGAAGTTCCATCTGCCTCTCCCCTCCTTCCTCAATCCTGAATTCCCTCCCTCCCTAAG